CGACGCTAACGGTAAGTGGATCCGCGGTGCGCGCCAACGCACAGTCGGCGATACCGCGCGTCTCATTCTCGTCGCGCCTTATCCCCTTCGTCTTCCTATCGTCCTTAAATCGTCGAATTAAATTCGCCCCATTGCTACGCAACTCCCATCCGCGTACGCCCGTCCGTCCTCTCGTCGCATTCCGATGCACCTCAAACGCGGCGACCGGCTGCGAATTCACATGCACATTTCGCACTCCCAATCCGATCGAGTTCGCCCCACGAGCGCACGAGTTTCCTCGCGCGTTCCAGCAAAATCTTCACAATTTATTTCAGCTCCTCTCCACCTTTGACATTTACGACTACGCTACAGTGTCGATTGTCTCGTCGAGTTCGCGTGCAACACGCGCACTCGATATTAAATTTTACCGTACCAAGAGATGAGCGATTTTTACATTTTGTCGCAAATATCTTTTTCACTTGCCTGTCGCGTGTGTATTTCTGATTATCGTATGCAGTTTGATAAAATATGACACTAATGAGATAGTATGAAAAGCCCTTTTTTTGCTCCATTAAAATTTATACAGTTTGGTATGCTCATGAAATGCTCCAAGAACACTGAACAAGTTTCATTTTGTTCCCTGTGTAATATTACAAAGCTTAGCTCTCTTATTTTTATATTTAAAATAGAAATCTTTAACTTGTACAATGTATCATTTAGTCGGATAAGAAAAATGTGGAATGCTCTTAAAAAGTACTTGATAATTTCTGAGTACTAAATAAGGACTGAACACTGTATTTAAATGAGTATAATTCCATCTGCTTGCTTTCAGATATAACACTCACATAATGTCCACTGACAATTTCTAAATTTGCTTACAGACAACTTCTAGATAGTATTAAGATTTATATGAAAGATTTTGATTTTATATAAACTATACAATGATACATATAAGTTACACGAGTCTTTGGATGTATTGAAAGAGAAGATTTATAAAACAAATATATCAGAAACTATAAATTGAAATTGATTTATATTTTTGGTATAAAAATGTCATTGTGTTTATAAAGCGTATTTTGATTTATCAACTGTATAAATGAATGGTTAGCTTCCATACTAATAATCTTCATGATATATTGTTTGTTTTATTTAGATAAAACAGCATAAAATTTCTATAACTTAAAGTATATAACATTAACTTAATTTATTTTTATATATTCTTAATATTGCAATATATTTATTTGTGATCATATCATGTAACTGTTCATATCTTATTATATGGGCTAAAGATAATGTAGAAAGATTAAGCTCCAATGTTATCAGATTTATTCTGCTTAGGACAAAGATTTCTAAAATATTTGGTCTACAGACCAAAATTCATGAACAATTATAGATAAGTTATATTTGTTACAGGACACCCACAAGTGATAAAAGTAGTGCAAAGTACACCTAATAAAACACTAGGTAGTATTGTTAGCACAACAAATGCAGGTGGCCTTAAAGTGTTTAAAACTCCTAATCAAGAATCACAGGTACTTGTCTCAATCTTACAACTCACTTACAATTATAGCTATTAGCTTAATGTGCAGAGGTTATATATTGTAATGCATTCAAGAGGGAGTGCTTCATTAAATAATATATATTATATATTTAAAAGTAACTTCTTTTTTATTTCTAATTTCTTTATTTTTAATCTTTATTTTTAATTCTAATATCTTTCTTAGTGCAATAGAATATTTGAATATAATAGATTTTCACACTATTATATATCTATATATGTTGTAACTAGGTTTTGACATCAAATGCACAAGTTCTTAGGACTATCAGTTTGCAGAGTCCGTCTACACCAGGTCAGAGTAAGTATATTTTACTTAAAAAGTAACCTTTTTTCATACAGTTATATGCAACAATATTGTACAGAGATTTCCTTATAGGATTAGTAACAATACCTTTGCAAAATACTAAAATGGCAACATCAAAAGCAGGGGAAACTATGATGACCAAGACTATACAATTGACCTCTGCGCAAATGGTAGAAACAATTTTCTAATGTTTCAACGAAAGAATTATATTTTATATTAAACAATTTAATTTTGTAAATGCTTTTTTTTAGAGTGACATAAAACAGGCTATTGTATCCCAACAACAGCAGCAACAACAGCAACAGCAGTCTAATACTTCGCAACTTGTGAAGGATGCCACTGGGAAAACCTTTATCAGTCCAATACTGGATCACAGCGGATCTAGGAAGAGGCAGGACGTTGAAAGTGGCGACTTTGTGCCTGAGTAATATAATGTTTTTATCGCGTATACTTTAATTATATAGAGAACAAGGACGAGCTTTGTTTTCCCTCACCAATTTTACGATATACTCCGTCCAATCCAATCGCACCGAACTAGGTATCTCAATTTATACCATCTCTATGTATTGTAGTAAACGGAGAAAAACGGAAAAAGTTGGTAAAGGATTAAGACATTTCTCAATGAAAGTCTGTGAGAAGGTAAAGAAGAAAGGTACCACTTCTTATAATGAAGTAGCAGATGAGTTGGTCGGTGAATTCACTAACCCTGCTCATATAAATTCTCTGACAGATCAGGTATTTATCTCATATAATATCTGCATATTGTATAGAAAAATATCTGTTTTCTACGTATACATATTCATTAGATTATCATTAGAATTTATATTTGATGTCATACCTTTTTCAGCAATACGATCAGAAAAATATCAGAAGACGCGTATACGACGCTTTGAATGTATTAATGGCAATGAATATCATTTCCAAAGAGAAAAAAGAAATTAGGTGGCTTGGCCTGCCAACTAATTCATTACAAGAATGTGTAGCATTAGAAAAGGATAAGAAGAAAAAGATTGAGAGAATTAAGGCTAAAACGCAGCAATTACATCAGCTTATTCTCTCTCACATTTCTTTTAAGAATTTAGTTGAACGTAATCGTTTGCACGAGAGTCTCCGCGGGCCGCCGAAACCTAATTCTGCCATACAGCTGCCATTCCTCATTGTGAATACCAGTAAAAAGACTGTCATAGACTGCAGCATTTCAAATGACAAGTATGTCGCAATATAATCTTGCACAACATAGTAATTGGTAAATATATATAACATAAAGAGGAAAGAGTTATATTAATCTCTTTTAATTCTTTTTACAGAACTGAGTACCTGTTTAATTTTAATGATAAGTTTGAAATTCATGACGATATCGAGGTTCTAAAGCAAATGGGTCTAGCTTTTGGTAAAATATATTATTGATTCTTTTTATACTATAAGAATGTGTACACACATAATACAAACACTGTTTTATCTTTTACTAATGTATATTACATAATGTAAAATGTTGTTTTAGGATTAGAAAAAGGGGAATGCACCGACGAAAATTTACAAAAGGCAAAATTAATGGTTCCGAAATCACTCGAGAAATACGTAGAACGTACGTTACCTATCACACATTTTATATACTTATTTAAGTTTCAATTCGTACTCTCGTTTGAAACTAACGATTGCATTGCAGAGTTGGCATCAGGAGATCTAGAAAAGTTTATTCCAGTAAGTATTCCTGGTCCAAGTACGTCGATGGAGGATATAGACATCAAATTGGAAGGTTCTCGACCACCATCGTCCTCGCATACTTCACTGTCAGAAGATCCTTTATCACCACCGTCGCAGTACTATTCGGAAGAGGAGGACGATGACGAAGAAAGCGACCAGGACGATCAGGCTGATAGTGATCTGGAAGTTAACTAGCACCCCGAATAATTCTTAAACGGCTAGACTCAGGGTTTGTGTATATTTACTATACTTATATAAACTTCTTGTATCTCATATTGTATATCGTATTTAATTCTAACAATATATATATTAAATGTTTCATTATATAGCGATTATTCTTTCAATACATATTAACAATTAATCTGCTTGGAAACATGAATATGAAATAATGTCAAGATAAAATCGAAACAATTTTGCTCTTAAATTTTAGGATACTCGCCACTATCATCAGCAATGTCAACGTTAATAATATCGCCGCTGTTGCCAACATTATCTTCACCCCGGTCGCCAATTTTTAACACACATCGAACAAGGATAGAGGAATTAATTGTTGCGAGTGGAAAGTAAATCAGTTGAAGTAAATGAAAATGGTTAAAAGGAATATATGTTGATTGGGGCCAAGGAGAGAACATAGTAATTAATTGGCAAATCTATAAGTGGCTCTTTTTTCGTATCAAATAATAAAATAGTTCGATGCACGCGCATGGAGTGATCGGAGTAGATGCAGAATGACTGAAATAATGGGGTGCTATATTTTAACTGTGCATCGTCATACAAGTTTATATAACTCTAGCGTCTATGTATTATAAAATATAATCTTACAGTATCAATATTATTATGTGTACAAGACATATTGACCAGTACTCATTTTCTTATGGCACGTTTATAATAACATTTGTCTGTGGTACGCAGTAAAATGACGTATGATAGATGCAGGCACACATCTGACTCGAATTAAAAATACAAATAAATTGTAATAATGTTATAATATGAAGTTTGTAGTTTGTGGTTAGTCTTTTGAGAAGAAAGGATATGTATTAACACACTATGTAAGAGTTTGCAGTAGTTTTATACAGCAAACTCTCTCTTAAAAATGAAACATTTTTCATATCTCTTATATATATATGTATATATATATAAACATGATAAATTTGATGGCTGCATTCAGCAGAGAAAAATAACTTTACAATTGTTGCATGATTTTTTTACCTTAAGTGTGTTTTTGTTTTTGTCAACATATTAAAAAGTATTGGTGTAATTATCAATCTTGTTATATATATTTCATAAATATTTTAATGCCATTTGTAATATGAGATATGTAAAGCTAGCACTATCAATTAAATTAAACACAGCGCTAAAAAATCAGCAAATTGTAAAGTACAAGCAGCTATAAATTAAAATAAAAAAAAAAAACTTAGTGAAACTTTTTATTTATTGGTTACTACAGTATTATTTAACTTAATACTATGCTTCTGCTGAATGTAACTGATAACATATGATTGATTATACAATATTTCACATGGATTTATGAGAACCAGAAATTTTCTGCTTTAATGCTAAGTTAATTGCAGTCTGCAAAAACAATGCATAGTTCATTTCTATAGGAATGCTTTACTCCAAGTCATCATCATCGAACAAGTCATCAAAATCTGAAATTAAACAATTATTTCAATAAACTAACCATATATTCTGTTAACTTGGATTATTATTTATAAAATTAGAATGTTCTCCTTTATCTGATGAATTATGTAAAAATTATTACACACATTTCCATACATACATTTACATTCATATACACACACACACAAACATATAAAAAAAGTAAATATTTAATATACCCTTAAAATATTCTGAATGGACTGCATTCTTCACAAGCTCTAAATTTTCAGACAAAAAATCTCGATTTTCTACAGGCCTACGTAATAATATATCTACTTTGCTATTTGGTAAAGATTTTAAATGTAGAGTTGAGATTTCCTTGAGATTTTTATCACTAGTCAAGTAATTATTATTTAAAAAATCTTCTAAAAATAAATAAAAAAAAAAAAAAATAAATAAATAAATTA